CGTGGAACTAAGGAGATAGTGATCTTTTTGCCTCCCCACCCCCAAGTACGAACTGCACCCAGCTTTATATGGTACCATACTGAACCCAGGGCTTGATGCTTTCTAGGAAAAGTCTACCCACCGAGCTATATCGCTATGCACACTGGTTTTAATTCCTCTGCTCTGTGACAGGCTTATTTCAGAGACTTGCAGCAGCAATGTAGAGGTTACTATGGGGCTGGGTCACTGTGGCTAGCACGTACCTAGCATGCACGAAGTCCTGGGATGATACCTAACACTCCCATAATCCCATGGTGCAGGAGGAGGACAATGAGGAGCTGAAGGCTATCTTCTGCTACATACTGAGTCTGGGCGAACACTGTCTCAAAAAAAAAAAAAAAAAGAAAAGAAAAGAAAAAGAAAGAGAGAGAGAGAGAGAAAGAGAGAAAAGAAAAAGGAGACGGGGGAAAGAAAAGAATAAATAAAAAGGTGAAGTAAACAAAATAAGAAAATGAAAATGAGGCTGGTGAGATGGCTCAGAGGGTGAGGGTCTTCCTACCGAGCCTGATGACTTGAGGATCCCCAGAATCCACACGAGAGGAGGAGAGGTCTAATTCCCAAAGTCCTCTGACTTCTAAACACTGTGGCACCCACCCTCCCACCCACAGAAAATAAGCAAATAAATGTCAAAGGAAGGAAAAGACTGTAGCTAACTGTAGTGACCCACGCCTGTAATCCCAGCCTTCAGGAAGCTAAGACTGGGATCCCTTAGATACTGTCTTAAAAACAAGGGAGCAGAGAAAATGCAAAGACTAGGACTGCAGCAAAAGAGCCAGATCTTGGGGGTGGATGCCCAGGGCTTACGGCAATCTCTGGGTCAGTCTGTTAGAGGCAGGTTTCTTGCATCCATTTTAGGAAACTGAACAATGACGTGAGTTCACTGATGGGATAATAAACCCTACTACGATGACCTGACTTCACTCAGGACATATGCTGTGTTTCTTTCAAGTGCTGTGTTGTTTTTTAAACCACCCTTGGAAGACATGAAGGAATGATTAACAGGCTGCCCTTTGTAGATTTGAGCCCAGATTTGTAAAAATGAAAACAGGTCAAGCTCAAATCAGCTGGGATCTGGGGTCCTCCTACCAACCACACTGTAACTGAGCTGAGGAGCCCTGAGGCTTCAGGAGTCTACAGGTTGCAGCTGGCTTAGTGTGCGCCCAGCCTTGGCATGCACACAAAGGCCAGCACCACCAAGAAGATGCTGGTTTCCAAAGCTTCCTCCTCCGTACAGACTGCTTTAGGCTGGCCCTTGTCTGACCATTTTATGGCGCCAGGAGGTGCGAACCACACAGATATGCTAAGGACCCCTTGAAATGGTCTGACACTGGCAAGGGCCAGAAACACCAAGGTCCAGAGAGGCTGCCACTCCGGCCCCAGCATAAAGCCCACCCGGAAGGACCAGGATTTTATGGCCTTTATTAGGACAAGATTTATTAAGTGCCCCTTCACGTCATGGAGATGTTTACTCTTTTCTTTTTAAACTGTGTGTGTAATGTGTGTGTGTGTGTGAGAGAGAGAGACAACTTGAGGAAGTTGATTTTCGCCTTCCACTGTATGGGTCCCAAGGATTAAACTCAGGTCATTAGGATTGGCTGAGTACCTTTACCCCCTGAGCCATCTTGTCAGCCCCAAGATGCCTAGTTCACATAAAACAACTTAGCCCTCTGCATTCACCACAATGCCAAAAAGTAATCAGCTCCCAGCAAAGCAAGTGAGAACACCAAGTAAGAGATCTAAGTGAGGCTGCCTCAAGTCGGAAAAGGCCAACCTTGCCAGCTACTGGAGGAGGTCTCAGAAATTGGCTTAGAGCCACCTGTCCCTGAGTGTTTATATTTTCCAGACGTTTTCCCTCTTCACATCAGCATCCCAGATTATTGTCATGAAGCTGCTCCATATCCCCATTTGTCCTTTTCTCACCTGACGGGTCCCCAGTTGGTTGGCAACGCTCAGGCTGACTGAGCATCCCTGCCTTGACAAAGCAAATAGGAGGTGGGGACTTCTAGCCTTAGGACAGACAGACCCTTGAGAAGCAGCTTCCCACCTCAGCCCTGACACACTGACTAGGCAAGTGGGGGGGGAAATGGCATTTTGTATGATTGTAGTGCTGGGACTCTTGGTGGGATCAGCCACCCATTTGTCTTCAAGCTGCTCTCTTCTCCCCAACTCCTTCTCTCCTCCCCCCTCCCCCCTGCTCTCCACCACATAGCAACTGCTGCCCAGGAAGCCTGGGGACAGGATCCCCACACACACCCTGGGGCTCATGGCAGTGGGGGGGGGGGGCTATTAAAAAAAACAATTTGGTCTAGTAACAAAAGCCATCAATCAGTGCAGTGTCTTTCGGCCTTTGATTTGGATGAGAAGGCGGGAGGTGGAGGAACAGGCTTCCTTCAGTCATCTCCCTTTCCAGGATCATCAGCAGGCCAGTCAGAAGAAAGGAACCCGCCTGCACAGAAGCCTTCTCCAGGCCTGTCTTTGATGAAGTCAGCAGTCTGTGTCTGAAACTTCCAGAAACCACTGTACTCCACTTTAGAAGCTAGCTTTTCTGTAGGCCTCAAAGTCCCTAATCTCTCTAAATTTTCAAAGGCGTTGCAGGGTCTACATCAGAGTTAGCTCAGGAGATGTTACTAATGGTGAGGGAATCAACAGAAGGACCCAAGAAAAGCAACTGAGGTCGCACAAACAGCGAGCTGAGACCTGGGCCATGTCCCAAGCAAAGTTCAATCTAAATAGTTCCTGCAAAGAAGCTGTTGAAGAGTTTAAGTTAACCTGAGTATAACTCCATTTTGAAATAAAGATCTTGACTGGGAACTGAATTCAGGTACCAGGAAATATCACAGAATGTACACCTGGCAGAAAACAAAGTTAACTCTCCTAGCAACAGCCTCCAGGAAATATAACAGAATAAATACTTCATAGAAAATAGAGACAAACTCCTTGGCAATAATCAATGGGAATCGGTTGAGAATCAGGTGGGAAAATTCTCCCCAATGTTTCAGATGTGGTTTAGAAAAATAGCCATTGTGATTATATGCCTTAGCCATGGTGATTGTGTGCCTCAGAAAAGGTCACCCCACCCTGCTAAACTTCACCCAATTCTGTACCGCCAAGGCTTGTGCCCCCTGCTTGCTGCCATGGAAACCCCTTGATCACAGACTTTCCCTTTAAAACTCCTGTTCACTCAGGGCTCAGGGTCCCACTTCTCTACTGCTGCATCAGTGAGACTTGGGTCCCGAGTTCAATCGCTCTTGTAATAAAGCTCTCTTGCTTTTGCATCGAGTCGTCTGCTGGTGTTCTCTGAGAGTCCCGTGAACCTGGCATTACACTGCCAGTATTTTTGGACACAAACTTCTCAAAAGCTATTTGACAATTTCAATTCAAGCCAATCCATGGTATGGTCTAGGCTGTGGTTAGGAGGATCATCAGTTCAAGGATGCCTTGGACAAATTAGTGAAGCTCTGTCTCAAAAAACTAAAGAACAACTAGGATCTAGCTCATGCATAGAAAGAATGTTAGGCTGCATGTGCAAAGCCCTAGATCCCCCAACCAGAACTGCAATAAAATAAATAAGAAGGAGAAAAGAAGTTTAAAAATGAGGAAAAGCAGAAAAGTAGCGGGGTGTGGTGGCACACGCCTGTAATCCCAACACTCAGGGAGGCAGAGGCAGGTGGATCACTATGAGTTCAAGGCCAGCCTGGTTTACAAAGTGAGTCTAGGACAGTCAAGGCTATACAGAGAAACCCTCTCTCGAGAAACCAAAAATAATAATTATTATTATAATAAAAATGAGGAAAAGGTTCGTGTCCCACACCTTTCATCCCGGCACTCAACAGGGATGGATCATGGGCGATTTATTTGTGCTTATACCTGAAGAAAAATGGCTTCCCCTCCTGAAGCAGGCATTGACCACTGGTAGTTCCTGGCTCAGAAATACGAGATGGCGTTTTTTGTAGTTTGCTGTTTTTGTTTGTTTGAGACACTGTGGCTCAGACTGGCCTCACACTCACAGTTCTCCTTTCTTGGCCTCCAAAATGCTGACAAACTGGAAGAAGTGGCACACATCTGTAATCCCAGCACTTCGTCAGGAAAAGCAGGAAGATCTGGAGCTTAAAGTCGTCCTTGGCACTCAGGAGGCAGAAGCAGGTAGATCTCTCTGCGTTTGAGACCAGCCTGGTCTACAGAGTGAGTTACTGGACAGCCAGGGCTACACAGAGAAACCCTGTCTCGAAAATCAAAAACAAAACAAAACAAAAATTAAAAATGAAGAATTTAGTTTTAAAAAGACTGAAAAAAACGGATTGGTGGCTAAGAATGCACATCCTCTTACAGAAGACCCAGGCTGATGGGGGTTGGTCTGGGGCCTTGTATTCAAATGCTAAATTAATGGCTCCCAAGATCAGATGAGCACATACTCATGCACACCAAGTGATGTTGTGTAAACTTTGACAATATTCTGACTGGTTAAATAAATCAGCTGACAGCCGCTAGCCGGGCAGGAAAGAGAAGCAGGAGAGGAAGCTGGAGAGGAGGAAGTCGCCACGGAGCTGTAGGAACAGTGAGCACGTGGTCATGAGGCTGACCTGATGAAACAGAAGCAGCCCAGGCAGGAGCAATTACGGCAAGTGACTTGGGCTGTGCACCTGGGAAATAGAAAAATAGCTTAGAGGGTTGATATCTGCCCAGTTATTGTGCCTTGAAGCTTTTATAAATCTAAAAAGTCACTATCTTGATCATTTGGGAACTAGCTCGGATAGAGAAGCCTTCTGGGGCCTAATATCGATTCCCCAACACCAAGTTTGGTTCCCAACACTCATGTCAGGTGACTTAAAACCATTCCAGCTCTAAGGGGTCCAGTGCCTCTGGCCTCTTCAGGTTCCTGAACCCACACACAGAAGTAGACCCACACATATAAAGAAAAAATAGTTTATTACATATGTAGCTACTTAAACCATTAGGAAGAAAGTTTCTTTTAGAGGTAGGTGCACAGCTTTGACAGGAAGACAATCTGCCACTTGCTCTGCACAGCGTGCTAATGCTCTTCTGGTCCTGGGAAATAAGAAAGTTTGGGTTTGTTGGGATTATTTTTCAGCAGCCAATCAGCTAGCCAAATCTATGGAAAAAGAAAAAATAAAGTTAATAAACATTTAAATATTTACTTTTGATAATGAAATTAACAACGGAAAAATTAAGTATCTTTTTAAATTTTTTTTTTTTTTTTTTTTTTTTTTTTTTTTTTTTTTTTTTTTTTTTGGTAACAGGGTCTTACAACCAAGGCTGTCTGGAATTTACTATGTAGATCAGGCTGGCCTTGGACTTCTTAGAGATCTAGCTGCCTCTGATTCCTAAATGTTGAGGTGCCGTGACATCCAGATAAACAGGGTTTTCTTTGTTTGCTTTTTGAGACAGGGTTTCTCTGTGTGGCCCTGGTGTCTTGAAACTCGATCTGTAGGGGATTGGGAGGCTCAGACTCAGAGATCTGATGGCCCCTGCTTCTGAAATCCTGTACTGCCACCACCACCACCCTGCCCCGGTTTAGAGAAATCTTTACATCCCTGGAAGTTGACAAGGACTGTATGTACAGAGTTGATATCCTCCAGTGCTCACTGTCTCCCTGGGGCTTGGTGCAGGTCGAGATTCAGACCAGACTACTGGTCTACCTTAAGGGGGTTGAAGATTGTGAGCCTGTAAGAAGGAGCCAAACTGCTATTATGAATATCACTTCCATTTTGAACAAAGGACAAATAAAGTTTAAATTTCGAAGACCTCCCCGGGTAACTGGCATCTTGCTTGGCGGAGAGAGACATGTACACGGCTAACTGACATCCTAGTTGGCAAGTTGAGACATGGATGCTGGGCCCGTCACCTACCACAGCTGAATAAACCAACCAATGAGGACAGGGCCGCATAGAAAAATGTTCCTGGGAAAGTCCTGTATCCCTAAGTCCTGACTGGTGTAACTGCAACTTGGCAAAGATGTTTGTGGGTTTCAGGCTGAAAAGCTCTATAGCATCTGGCTGGCACTGGAGGCAGGGTGTGGCAGTTCAGCCACCAAGTCTGTTTTGCATCCCTGATTGGTCAATAGCGGACTTGATTACAATAAATTTTTGTTTTCTGTCCTGACCTGGTGTTTGAGTTGTGTTGGATCTACCCAGACCCCATAACAAGGCCGGTGTAGACGTTGAAGTAAATCGGGAAAGGACAGCAGAGTGAAGGGAGAAGGGAGGAGAGTTGCCTCATTAGAACTGAGAGACTGGCAGGTGATGATAACAAACAAACAACAACAACCTGGATAATGCTGGTGAGAAACACGAAATAACCGGATGGCGGTGGCACATGACTCCACCCCCTCTGCCTCTTGGGAGGCAGAGGCGGCTGAAGCTCTAAATTGCAGGCCAGCCTGGTCTACAGAGTGAGTTCCAGGATTGCCAGGGCTACACAGAGAAACTCTGTCTGGAAAAAACAAACAAACAAAAATAAAACATAATTTTTACAACAAAATGAAATTATTCTTCGACACAGTTTTTCATTGCAAAATGATTATGAGTATGGGGTCGGGCTGTGTAGTGGCACATGCCTTTAAACCTAGTACCTAGGAGGCAGGGGCAGGTGAATTTCTGAGTTTGACACTAGCTTGGTCTATTGGTCTACACTGCCTGGCTGCTAAACAGCTTTTAAATCAATTTAAGGATAAAAATAAGCCAGGCTCAGTGACGCACACCTGTAATCCCAGAGCTCTGGGAGGGAGAGGCAAACAGATCTCTGCAAGTTCAGGGCCAGCCTGGTCTACAAAGTGAGTCCCAGTCAGCCAAGGCTGCACAGAGAAACCCTGTATGGGAGGTAAAAAAAAAAAATAATAGAAATAAAGGCCAGAGGACAGCTTTAATCTCAGCACTTGTGAGGCAGAGGCAGGATCTCTGTAAGTTCAAAGCCAGCCTGATCTACAGAGTGAGTTCCAGGACAGCCAGGGAAACAATGAGAAACTCTGTCTCAAAAAAAAAAAAAAAAAAAAAAAAAAAAGCAACGAATAAAAATAAAAGTCTGACAGATACACACACATACACACAAAATAAAATAAATAAATGTAATTAAACATTTTTTCTTCTTTGGTTTTTCAAGACAGTGTTTCTCTTGTAGCTTTGGCTGTTCTGGACTCACTTTGTAGACCAGGCTAGTCTCAAACTCAGAGATCTCCCTGCGTCTTCGTCCTGAGTGCTGGGATTACAGGTGTGCACCACCACACCTGGCTTTAAACATTTTTTAAGAATAAAAAAGAGGGGCTGGAGAGATGGCCTAGAGATTAAGAGCACTGTCTGCTCTTCCAAAGGTCTTGAATTCAATTCCCAGCATCCACATGGTGGATCATAACCATCTATGATGAGAACTGGTGCCCTCTGCTGGTATGCAGGCTATGTAATAAATAAATCTTAAAAGAATAGAAAAGATAGGATCTGATAGAATGCTTGTGTGTTAAGTGCAAAGCCTTGGGTTTGATTACCTAGGACTTGATAAACACTGGCAGAAAGTGGAGCACAGCATTTGGGAGGTAGGAGCAGCAGGGAATCCTCTGAGGCCAAGTTCAGTTCCCAGCAGCCAGAAAAATTCATAATAATAGGAAGAAGAAGGAAATTTGTAACGGAGTGTCAAAGGTTCCCAGGGCTCCCCCTCTCTAGGGATTCCTAGCCGCTAATGGCTGAGAATGGAGTCCCGTTCTCTTCAGTGCCGCAGCCACTGGTCTGGTACCATTGCTCATTGAAACAAACCTTCATCAGCCTTTCCGTAAAGGACCTCAATAAACTCACTCAGGCAAAAGAAACAAAAAGGCATGAGACAGCAGATGGGTTAACTGGGAAGAAGAAAGGGGTTAGCAGGTGTGGAGAGGGACAACAGCAGGCAAAGGGGAGATTCCTGCACATTTGTGATCAAAATACATTATCTACTACAAGCCAGCCGGGGCCAGACACAGAGAGGCTTTGTCTAAAAGACAACACTCAAGGCCAGCCTGCTGTACACAGCAAGTTCCTGGCCAGCCATGGCTTCATGGTGAGACCATGCCCCTCCCCAGACAGAAAACCCCCCCCACAAAACAACAATAAGCAAAACAAATCACCCCAGATCATTTACATGCCTGAAAATGTCATAGTAAAACTTCATCATTATGTATAATTGCTGTATGCTAATAAAAACATTAAAAAAAAAATAAGAAAATAGAAGCCAGGTGTGGCGGCTCATTCCTTTAAGCCCAGCACAAGGGGCTGAGGAAGGCCCAGAGGCAGGAGAATAACTGCAAGTTGGAGGTCAGGCCGGGCTCTATAGCAAAGTCCAAAGCCAGCCTGGGCTACCTAGCAAGATCAGACCTAAAAACAGAAGGAGAGTCAAGCCAAGTAACGCACAGCTGCAACCCAGGACTCAGGATGCGGGAGACTCAAGACTCAAGGCTGGGGCTGGGGAGAGGGCTTAGCATTTTCCAGTGCTTCCTGCTCTTCCAGAAGCCTGAGTTCAGTCCCCAGCACCCAGGGCAGGCAGTTGACAGCCTGTAACTCCAGCTCCTAGGGTCCGACATCTTCATACGGCCTCCACAGGCACAGCCACAGCCACACGGGCATAAGCAAGAAAATCAATCTTTTTAAACCAGAAAGGGTTTAAGGCAGCCCGCTCGACAGAGTGAGACCTTGCCTCAAAGTTAAATACAGTGGGGCTGACGGGCTCAGCTGTTACGAGCACGTGCTGATTTTTCACAGGACCTGGGTTCTGTTCCCAGTGCCCACATGGCTGCACACACATACCCATGACCTCGGTTCCAAAGGACCAATGTCCTCTTCTGACTTTTCCAGGCACAGGAAAGCATACAGTATAGACATATATGCAGGCAAAACACTCATTCACATAAAATAAAATAAGTGAATCTAGGGCTGGAGGGATGGCTCAGAGGTTAAGAGCACTGGCTGCTCTTCCAGAGGTCCTGAGTTCAAGTCCCAACAACCACATGGTGGCTCACAACCATCTCTAATGAGATCCCTCTTCTGGCACACAGGTGTACATACAGGAAGAACACTATACACATAATAAATAAATAAATCCTTTAAAAAAGATAAGTGAATCTAAAAATACATATTAAATAAAAAAATCAAAACAAAGCAGAAAACCTCAAAACACTATTCTGTAAAGCTGTCAAATACAGATCTAAACTAGAAAGGAAGAAGTAAAACTATCTTTGTTGCAAATGGCAACCAGAAACAAATTCCAAAGAGGTCAGTTATGGTGCCAGCTGCCTATAACTCCAGTGCTTGGAAACTGAGGTGGAGGGGCCTAGGGTCAAAGCCAGCCTGCTTTACAAAGGGCTCACCCCATGCATACACACACACACACACACACACACACACACACACCCGCGTGCACACCCGCACACACGCACTCCTGTTTAACTTGAACCTGGATACAAGGTTACAAACTTCTGGCAGGAAGCTCTCAGCATCAAGAGCTACGAGAGAAATGCAAATCAGTCACAGTGCGACACAGCCGCTCTGGCGGCTGTTAATGAGGAAGTAAGACAACAAAGGAGCAAGCGGTGGTGTTATTAAGGACAAACTGGAGCCTTCGGTTCTGCAAAGGGGGCGGGGAGGGGGGTAAAGTCACACAGCCACCTAGATGGGGCAGTTCCTGACAGGGCAGAGCACAACTGCCAAATGGCTCAGTAAGTCCATCCTATGTTTACACAGACCTGAAAGCTGGGACTCAGGCGATGGAGGTCTACAAACGTCACCGAGGCGCTGGACACACTAGTGGAAAGGCAGGAACGGCCCCGTTGGCGTGCTGGCAGCCACACAAAAACGTGCTGCGAGCACAGGGTGGGGCGGGAAAGGAATGGGACTGTGGGCATGGGATTGTCGCTACTGGCCCGCTGAAGAAACTTTTAAACGCCCCGCTCCGTGAGATTAGCCGGACACCCATTCCTTTACGTGTTGGAAACTGAACCCACCGCTCCGGCTGCGTCCAGCAAGCACGCTGCTACCACACCACATGCCCAGCTGCCTGCGTGCTGGGGGGAAGGGTATCGAGGAGGTCAGAGGGCAGCTTTTGGGAGCTGATGCCCTAATTCCACCCTGTGGCATCCCAGGACGGAACTCAGGTCATGAGGCCGCACAGTTAGCTCTTTACCTCTCTCACCAACCTGCCCAGTCCCCCAGGACCCATCACACACATTTTGTTTTTCTTTTTTCAGACTGTGTCTTACTGTATAGCTTGACTGGTCTGGAATCTACTAGGTGGATCAGAGCAGCCATGAATTCAAAGAGGTCTGCCCGCCCCCACCACCCAAGAGCTGGGATTAAAGGCACTGGCCACCATGACCAGACCACCTTTTTAAGTTACTTTGAAGCTGGGCCGTGGTGGCTCACGCCTGTGATCCCAGCACTCAGGGAGGCAGAGGCAGGTGGATCCCTGTGGGTTCAAGGCCAGCCTGGTCTACAGAGTGAGTCCAGGACAGCCAAGCCTTCACAGAGAAACCCTGTCTTGAAAAACAAAACAAAAATAAATAAGTTACTTTGAGACAGGGTCTCAATAAATTGTCCTGCTTGGTGGCCATGGAGTCAAGGATAGCCCAAGCAAGCCTCAAACCCTGCGAGTCTTCAGACTAAAAGAATACATTTTATTAAAGCCAGTGCAGTGGCATAAGCTGGAAGCCTGGAATCCCAGCACGCAGGGAGGCAGAGGCAGGTGAATCTCTGTGAGTTCGAGGCCAGCCTGCTACAAAAAGAGTCCAAGACAGCCAAGACTACACAGAGAAACCCTGTCTTGAAAACCAAAAATACATAAACAAACAAACATTAGGCAGGTGGTGCCCATCTTAATCCCAGCCTTCAGGAGGCAGAAGCAGTAGATCTTCGTGAATTCGGGGCCAGCCTGGTTTACACAGTGACCGCTGGACAGCCAGGGGTCCAGACAGACAGACATACATAGGGGCACTCTGTCTCAAAACAAACAAATAAGATAGAGTTTTAAATAGGAAAACGATAAACAGTATTTTCTAGTGAGAATAAAAGGAATCTTACAAAAGGATCCTCTGGCTTTTGCTTACAAAGCTCCGTGAGTCCTTGAAGTAGGGTTGGTGTTACGTACAAATTTAAATAGTCCTTAGCGATTACTCCAGTTGGAATGGGTTCGGTGATCACTGCAAGCACAAATAAGTTCTCACTAAAACTCGAAAAGAAGTGATTAAACATTACACGCATTACACGCGTGGTAAAAGGGTGCCTTCAAGAGCTTTTAACTGTCATGAGACACTCATCTCGTTGTGAGCTTTAAGTTTGATTTTTACATCTTGTATTAATTAAAGTATTATAATTGTTTTTATTACTGGCTATCTGATAGGGTCTCACTGTATTCCAGGCTGGGCTGGGACTCACTAGGTAGCCTAGGCTGGCCTCAAATTCAAGGTAATCTTGCTGGCTGGCCGCCAGGGCGGACAGATGAGTGCCACCACACTCTACCTGCTTACTAGGGTATCATTTACAGACAGTGCTTGCTGGATTTTGATCACACCGAGAAAAAAAAATAATTTAAAACTTAAAAAATTGAAAAGCTGGATGTGGTGACATACCTTTAATCCCAGCACTCAGCAGGCAGAGGCCATTGGATCTCTGTGACTTCCAGGCTAGCCTGGTCTACACAGCAAGTCCAGGACAGCCAGGGCTACACAGAGAACCCCTGTCTTGAAAAAAAAAAAAAAAAAAACTAAAAATAAATAAAAAAACAAATAAATAAAATGACAATAACCACCATATACAAAAGAACGAAAGCAAAACCAAACCAACCCCAGCAGCCACTCAGGAGGCTGGCACAGAAGGATCGAAGGGGGCTTGCCCATGGACAGAGCACAGAGACTGCCTCAAAACAGAGGACTGGAAAACCAGGCTGCAGGAGGCCTGAAACCCCAGCACTCAGAAGGCGGTAGGGGCAGGAAGATCGTTAGTTAGTTCAAGGCTAGCCAAGACGTGTAGGCCTGTCTCCAAATACAAAAGCAGGGGCTGCCTGAAAATTTAAGGGGGCGGGGTTGAGTGGTTAAGATCGGTATTTCTTCTAGAGGACCCAAGGTCAGATCTCAGCGCCCACATCAGATGTGTCACCGCTGTCTGTAACTCCACCTCTGGGGATTCAATGCCTTCTGGCCTCTGAGGACATCTGCACACATGAGGCATAGCTCACACAGACATAAAAAATAAGATAACCTTAAAGATAAAAGACTAAAGGACTGGGCTGGAGAGATGGCTCAGAGGTTAAGAGCACTGTCTGTTCTTCCAGAGGTCCTGAGTTCAACTCCCAGCAACCACATGGTGGCTCACAACCATCTATAATGAGATCTGGTGCCCTCTTCTGATGTGAAGTTGTATGTGTAGACAGAATATTGTATACATAATAAATAAATCTTAAAAAAAAAAAAAAAAAGACTAAAGGACTGAGGACTGAGCTGCTCACCAGCAAAGGTTTCCTGTTATGGAGTCTTTAGGTTCGAACCCTGGACTGAAAGGCAACACACTGTTTTCTTAGTGTGCACACTCCTTTCTTCTTTCCTTTCTTTTCTTTCTCTCTCTCTCCTTCCTTCCTTCCTTCCTTCCTTCCTTCCTTCCTTCCTTCCCTCCCTCCATTCCTCCCTCCTTCCTTCCTTCTTTCTTTCTTTCTTTTTTTGGAGACACGGTTTCTGTGTATAGCCTTGGCTGTCTGGACTGACTCTGCAGACCAGGCTGGCCTTGAACTCACAGTGGTCCGCCTGCCTCCTGATTGCTGGGGTCACAGGTGCACCACTGTGTTCACCAGCATGTTTACTTTTTAAAGGTTTAGGCCTCCAGGACTTCAGACTGGACGGAGAGAAGGTCTGGAGCAGCCTAACTAGCTTCCCTACAACCAAAACTTGAACTTCTAACCCTCCTGCCCTCACCCCGAACAAAGGGTTAAGATTAGGATCACAGGCCTCTGGCCCCACACCCAATTTTATCCTGTGCTGGGATTCAAACCCAGAACCTCCCAGGAACTCAGCCATCTCCATATGAAAGAGCTACGCCCCAGGCCCCTCCAGCTCCAAGTTTCAATGACTCACAACCTGAAAAGAGCATATTTGGAGGGAGAAATCTACCTTCCTTCCCAGCCACGTCTTCAGGATGAAAAGCAAACTTTAAGAGGTGAACAGTTTGGAGGGATAGTGGAGAGAGCAGGCACGAGAGACCCACCTTCTGGAAACATGAACCGAATCTCTCTCTCTGAGGCGGGGAAGTCATTGCTCCCATGAAGTGCGTTCCTCAGTTCATCTGTACCGTAAATCGCCCTTAGGCTAGAGAGAATTAAAGACATTGTCCCTCCGCTCCAGCACTCTTTCCTTCCTTTACATCAGAGAGTTCTCTCTACCCTACTTGGAGGAGGGGGAAGCACCCGTGAAGGCCAGAGGATTACCTTGGGAGTGGTTTTCTCCTTCCAGTTTATGGGTCCTGGGTTCGAATCCAGGTTGCTTGGCTGCAAGCACTTCACCCACTTAGTCATCTTGCCAGCCCTTTCTGGTTGTTTGTTTGTTTGTTTGTTTGTTTGTTTTTAGACAGGCCATCTCAAATCTGATTTTAAGCTTTTCATCTACCTAGATGAGGGTCAAATGCATTTATATATGCTGATGGCACAGTCCATGATAAAAGCATCCTCTAGGTGAAGAAAGGGGTTTTGGGAGAAGTCAAAAGGAGATCTAAATTTGAAAGTGTGATAACTGACTATTTTTTCCAGAAGCTAGCAATAATGCTGAAATTTTGGAGTTTTTTTTTTTTTTTTTGAGACAGGTTCTCACTATGTACCCTTAGCTGGCCTGGAACTTGCTATATAGACAAGGCTAGCCTTAAACTCTCAGAAATTTCCTGCCTCTGTCTCTCAAGTCCTGAGATTAAAGATATGTGCCACCATGTCGAGAAAACAAATCTAAAGAATTCTCGTTTTCCTACTAAAACTCCTACTTCAGGATCAGTGGGTTGGCTCAGCTGCTAAAAGCACTTGCCACCAAGCCTGAGGGCTTGAGCTGTGTTCTACATGTGACAGGCACACATGCTCACAAAATAATAAATAAACAAAATGGATTTTAAAAATCCTATTTCATAGCCATGTGCTGTCACTCATGCCTGTAATTTCAGCATGGGAGATGGGGGCTGGGGTAGGAGGATCATCACAAATTCAAAGCTAGTCTGAGCAGGCCAGCCTGGGCTACAGAGTAAGACCTAGTCTCAAAAAAATAAAAAAAAAAAAAAACAAAAAAAAAAAAACACACAAACACACAAAAAAAAAAGAGGGGGGGGGGGGGGGGGGGGGAGTGCACACCTTTTATCCCAGCACTCAGGAAGCAGAGGCAGGCTGAATTTAAGGTCAGCCTGGTCTATAGAGTGAGTTCCAGGATAGCCAGGGCTTCCCTGTCTCAAAAAACAAGAAACAAAAACAACAAACAAAAAATAAATCGAAACTAAATCTTCCTTTGGAGGCAGTGTGACGCAAGGCTAGTCATCCGCCAATGAGATACTCTCTGATGCGTTCCTTCAGTGGCATTTGGCATTAAGACACACATTAAAATGGTGAGTATGCCGAACTCACTCACCGCCTTACACCAGAGAAAAGTTCTTTTAGGACAATGTGCGCACATAGCAACCCCGAATTGTAAAGATGGCAGGCTCGAGGTCTTTCATTTCTTTTGTTCTCATACTTTAAGGTGGCTTCAAGCCTCCAAGCCACGCCAGGGAAATTACCTGTCCGGGTGTGTCTCCTTGGCTACCAAACTATTGGCTGGTCCCAAAAGTTCTTTCCAGTAAGATATGGCATTATGTCTGGCTAATATCATCGCGACAAGAGGTCCAGAGCTCATGTAAGCTGTTAGGTTTGGGAAAAACATTTTCCCGTACTGGTCCACATAAAAGTTACTGCAGTGCTCAGGGCTGAGGTGTAGCTTTCGTCTCTGTAAACAAAACAAAGTCAGCAACAGCATTTAAAGCTACAGCTCAACGAATGCTCGTTAAGTCATTAGTAACTTGCCAGGCACAGTGGCGCATGCCTGCAATTATCTTTGCATTATTATAAGCGGTAATTAAATGAGTTCCGAGGAAGTATTTATCCCACTTCAAAAAAATGATCCCTGGGCTGCTGCCAAGGCTGAGGTTATAAGTTCAACTCCCAAGATGTACATGTTAGGAATAGAGAACTGATTCGCTCAAGTTTTCCGACCGCAGCATTCACTGTGTATAAGTAAGTATAAAAACTGTTGTTGTTGTTGTGTTGTTGTTTTCCAGGACAGGGTTTCTCTGTGTCGATCTGACTGTGCTGGAACTTCCCTGTAGACCAGGCTGGCCTTGAACTCACAGAGATACAATAACCTAATAACCTCTGCCTCCCAAGTGCTAGCATTAAAGACATGAGCCACCACTGCTGCCAGTGTAAAACATTTTCACTGGCAGCAGTGAAAACAAAAAGAGTGTTTGCTGAACAATCATTAGGAACAGACTGCGGGTCCTGGTACCTACATTACATAATGTAGGTGGATACATAGGGTATCCACCAAACACATGTAACTCCTGCTACAAGGGTTTTGATGCCCTCTCCTGGCATCCATGCCCGTGTGTAGGCACACTTCACACAGTCACCCCGAAATCAAGGCTCGCTTGGTCTGCATAGTGAGTTCCTGGTCGGCTAGGGCTCCAGAGTGAGGCCCTGCCTCTAAAACAATTTATACGAGATCACCCAAAGGAATATTCTGAAAAACTCTGCAGTCAGTTCCCAAGACTAGCTCTCACCTGGCTCCCTGCTTGCAAGCACTTGCCTCCCTCCGCATGCCCAGTTTGTTTGTTTGTTTGCTTTGATTCAGGGTCTTATCATGTAGCCCCAGTGGACCAGTCTCCTTAGCTCCTTAGACCACTGCCTTGGTCTCCCTAGACAGGGAACTACTGGCATGCCCAATGGCCGTGTGTTTTGTTTTTTTTTCAGGTATGCTAGCTCCTGAAGCATAATTGTAAAAATTTAGAGTTCATCCTTAAAGTTGGTACAACATTAATGATTCTATTTGGTTGCTTTAAAATGAAATCAGGTGGGAAATCTTTTGAACTTTGTTTGAGAAAACAGTGATACCAAATACGTGGTACAGAACTCATAGGGTGCGACCAAGGAAAGGCTGCCACCTTCTGGAAGGAGGGAGAAGTTTCCAGAGCTTTCTGAGCCTCCACCGCAATAAAGCCTACTTCATCGACAAACCTTACCGATATCCAACAACTTCATCTGCATGAAATAGCTGGAGGAGTCAAATTTCTCGAAGCAGAAACTAGGATAGTGGTGGCCAGGGGCTGGAGAAGATGCAGACACAGCTTCCTCCCTTTTTAAAACTAAGTTCACAGCTTCAGGTTGAGAATACTGCAGATGAATAGTGGTGACGTCACAAAACAACGTGAACGTATTTAATACCACTACGCTGTACCTTAAAAAAATACAGTTAAGTGGTACAGATAATGTAACATATATTTTGTGAAAAAAAATTAAAGCAAAACCAAAACAAAGGCATCACTGTGGCCAGAGCAGTGGCGGCGGCGGCACAGACCTTAGCCGTCCCTGGTCTAACAAACGTTTGCTGCTGACGTAAATTTTGACTTATGTGTCTTTTTGTTATGTTGCTGTTGTTTTGTGGTAGGGTCTCTCTGTGTGTCCCGGGACGGCCTAGGACTCACAGAGATACACGTCTCTTTGCTTCCTTGAGTGCTTGGATTGAAGGTGTGTGCCACCAGGCAAGGCTCTTGAATTTTAATTTATAATAAACACAAGCCACTTAATAACAAAGTCTGTCTTTTTTTTTTTTTTTTTTTTTTTAAGATGGACTTAAACGTTAGAGAGATGGCTCAGTGAGTAACGTGTTGGCAGCTCACATGTGAAAACCTGGGTTTGAGTCCCCAAAACTGTGCTTGTACCCGGCACTGTAGTGTGAGCCCGTGATCCGAGAACACCCATCAAGACAGGGCAGCTGGAGACGAGAGGGCCCAGTTAGCCGCACTTTTGCAGCAGAGCCTGTTGCAAACAACGGAAACGGTGAGGGCTGGGGCCTGTGGTTAACGTGTTCAGCTGAGCTTCACCAACACGCTGCCCCTGAGAACCTGGATTGTTTGCTTGCTTGCTTGTTTTGTTTGGGGGGAGGTGTTTGTTTGTTTTGAGACAGAGTTTCTCTGTGTAGCCCTGGCTGTCCCGGAACTCATTTCGTAGACTAGGCTGGCTTGAACTCAGAGGTCCAATGGCCTTTGCCTCCCAAGTTAAAGTCATACTGCCACCGCCACCTGGCTGAGGACATAGAGTTTTAAAGTATCTTTTCCCTCGTTTGTTTGTCTACATTTCTTCTAGAAGTTACAAACATGATTTCATACTCGTGGTGGGGGGAGAATGGTAGGGATTGAACCCACAGCCTCATGCTTGCCAAGCCTGTGTTCTTCCACTAAGCTATGCCCTAGCCCTACCTGTAAGTTTAATTTTCAAATATTTAAGATCCTAGAAAAAAATACTCAGTCTTTATTAACGACTCTGTGTCCGCCTGTAGCCTCTCTGTCAGAGCCTCCCTGCCAGGCCATGTGTGTGTGATACATGCACTTCTGTGCTCAGGTGTACAGATGTGCACACATATGTAGGAGGGCAGGTGCCATATGTGTGGAGCCGGAGGTCCACACTGCCTGCCTGCCTCAGCTGTGTTCACCACCTTAGGTCCCCTCCTCACCAGTTTGGTGAGACCAGTGGCCTCGCCGGCTCTGAGATTACCTGTAAGTGCTGCCACCACGCCTGGCCTTTCTGTGGTTGCCGGGGATTCAAACTCAGGTCCTTGTGCTTGCTCAGCACACACTGCCACAAACTCCCCTCCAGCTCAGTTTGAAAACATTGACAAAATAGATATGATACTATATAAAAAATTTGAGACAGTCTCACTGTGCAGCCCTGGCTGGTCAGGGACTTGCTATGGAGACCAGGCTGGCCTTGAACTCACAGAAATACACGTCTCTGCCTCCCCAGTGCCGGGATTAAAAACACCACACTCAGCTACATATACACTTAGAGAGAGAGAGAGAGAAAGAAAGAGAAAAAAAAACTAGAGTAGTTCAAAGAAAATTCAAACAAATATTCAAACAAATATTAAAAATATTAAGTTCTATTTGATACATTTATACACCTTGTCTTTTAGCTGGAGACCTTGTCCTGCTAGAAGACAGAGAACAGATCCTTCCATTTTATGAGGGAAAATGTTTTCAAATCCGGGAGAAGAGAATGCAGTAAGTTGTTTCCTCTCTCTAGACCTGCCCTGGAGAAGTTAAGGGAAGGAGAAGGCAATTGGCTTCTTTTGTGTCTTATTCTATGTCGTGTGTAAGTGTGAAAAACTTGTCTGTTACATGCAACTTGTTTGCTTTTGCAACAGGTCTCATAGAGCCCAGGCTGACATGTCAAACTTTGAAGTTATTCCATAGCTGACCTGGGGATCCTTTGGCCTCCATCTTCCGGTACCGAGATTACAGGCATATGTATGCTTACATGTCCAATTTACATATAACCTATAGTTAGAAATATAAAATTTAGCCAGGCGGTGCTGACACAGCGCCTTTAATCCCAGCACTTGGGAGGCAGAGGCAGGTGTATCTCTGTGAGTTCGAGGCCAACCTGGTCTACAGAGCGAGTTTCAGGACAGCCAAGGCTACAGGGAGAAACCCTGTCTTGAAAAAAACAAAAAAATAAGAACTGTGAACCTAATGTTAGCAAGGATCCAAATGGTGGCTGTATTAAGTATAACGCAAACTAATAAAGGAGATGCCAGAAGTTACCTGAACAATGGTGAAGCCAGACCTGAGAATAATATCACGTATCTCCTCTTCTTTGTCAACAATGTCTGGCTTGATAAGAGCTAGCGTTTTTTCCACGTATATCTGAGGCAGGGGCATTGATACCTTCATTCTGGCGACTCTCCTGACCACCTATCCACTGCAACGAAACACATCCGCGTCCGAAATTCAGCCCGTGGCAATATGTGGTGCTAGGTCTGATTAATTTACTAAAGAAATGCAAACTGCCATGTTCTCCTACAAGTAGTTTTGCAAGAACGCGACTTGCACAGCACCCACGGGGCGCCCTGGCCGCTTGCCTGAGGCTGGAGGCTGGATGGCACCTCGGTGCCGCTCTCCAGGGTGAGGGGAAGGTCCTGGCCGGCTGCCCTTGCGGAGGGGCCCCTCCTCGCAGGTTTGTACAGGCTTAGGTGTGACTGGAAGACAGCGTCCCCAAGTCCTTAGGAAATCAGGCTGGACCGTCCCAGCACTCACCTCCGCTCAGGTGTTGGCAAAATCCGTTGCTAAGAGAGCTGAAGCTGGATCTCAACGGTGGCTGCAGAGGGCCAATCCCAGCAGCGTTTTTGTTTTGTTTTTTTTAAAGGTTGCAGTTTGGTGTTAACCTAGGGCAGCAATTAGCCGTGCGCATTTTATTCTCTTTGTGAGTAGTAGGCGTATTTCTAACGTTTTTTTTTTCCCCTCATAATTAAAAAAATAACTTTATTGTGGTGTGTGTGATGTGTAGTAAGAAAACAACTTTGTGAAGTCATACCCTTTCCATGTTTTCTTGGTTTCCAGAGAACTGAGGGGGTGGGACTTGTGTGCAAGCCTCCTCAGCTCTTGAGCCTCAGCGCCAGCCTTCTCTAACTGATGTCCTCTCATGCTACTTGAAGGATGCCTGCCTTAGCCACACTTTGGAAATGAGACAAACCAGACTCCTCTCTCAGCCAATCTACTCCCTCCCAGACATCATATGAAAGATTAACGTCACGTCTATTTTCTTAATTTACTGTCTTTCCTTCCTTCCCTGTGGTTTTTTTTTTTTTTTTTTTTTTTTTTTTGGGTGGTCATGGTACTGGTGATCAAACGCAGAGCCCTGTGCACGCTGGGCGAGCACCCAGTTATTAGCCACATCCCCAGAGCCCTGTGCGTCACGTGCTCAGGAAACATCTTTGTTAAACCGCACGATGCGGTCTCCAGCGGCAGCTCCTTTAATCACTTGGTCTTCTCAGGGTCTGGCGGTGCCTACCTCCAGCGCCAGCATGCAGTGTAGGTGGAGGCTGGGTGCTACACAATCTCCAGAAACGCCGACTTTTAGAATTGTGAGACCCTGCCTCAAAAACCAAACAAAATACCTGGTTTGCGAAATGTTTATTTATAGACAAGCAAAAGGTTCAACCAAATTACTTCTAAGTCTAGCAACAAAACTGGGCACTATTTACATCCTAAATCCCCGTCGTGGTGCCCCACCCCCACCCCCACCCCTTTGAAAATACTGTATCTGCAAGCACACGGGCTTCTCGTTTGGAAAGTAAGGCATTATTATCCTTGTTAGGAAGGCGGTGGGGAAGGAGTAAGTCCTCACATCTCCGGCCAGTTGTGAGGAGAGCTATAAACTTGAGAAAGAACCGGGCTAACAAAAGAGGCTTCCTTCAGCCACTGGATTAGCTGGCATTCACTCCTGACTACACAAGTCCTTCCTTTTGTCCAGCCAGGTACTCAGCACCTACGGGAACAAGGACAGAAAACAAAGCATGAACCCTAAAGCCACAGAGGAGTGGATGCAGTTTTACTTATTTTCTTGGCAAACTGTAAGGCCACACCTTTAAAGTTTGGTGCTTCCCCAAAGAGAAACCCTTTCTCGTCTCCTTGAACGAGGTCTTATCCCCAGATGTGGAAATACACATGTACACCACCAAGGGCTGCAGCAAACAGGACGTGGACAGTGGATCCAGCACCCGACCTGCTTTCAGCCTTACAACTTGGGCCTCTGAAAGCAGAATGGACACTTCCCAGACAACCTCATCCCATGGTGCATTAAATCTGGACCCCGTAAGGCTTGGAGCTTCCCAACCTGTAGGGTACAACACCAGTCCTGTCCTTTAGTCATCTCCGAAGGTGAACTCCAGGAACACTACTGTTCCCACGGGCCTCAGAAACCACAGGCCGTTCGTGCAGCACCTTGTTGCAGTACCTGGATCTGCTCCAGGACTTCCCGCTGCATCTCCACAGCCATATGGTAGATGTGATGGTCAGAGTCATTGTACATCACGGCATTTTGGAACATGAGCATCAGATCCCGCTGGAATTCAGCCATGGTGCGAATGCGTCCCTTAGACAGATTCCTCTTCAGGGTTGTTAAGTCCATGGGTCTGCAGAAGCCAGAGGAGACCAAACCTTAATGGGCAAGATCTAGTGAACTAGTGTTCTGGAGGCTGAGGCAGGAAGATTACCATGAGTTTGAGGACAGCTTGAGCTACACAATGAATTCCAAACCAGCAGGAGGGAGATCCCGTCTCAAAACAGACAGAAAATGTAGTGTCTGTAACAAGTTCTTTGAGAACTTCTTAGTGAAACTAGCAGCTATACTGATTCATTTTGCTTTTATTTTTTGTTTTGTCAACGTGATACAAGCTGGAGTCATTTGGGATGGTGAACCTCAATTAATAAAATGGCTTCATTAGGCTGGCCTGTGGGTATGTCTGGGGTTATTATTATTATATTTTTCTTATTATTAATGACAGATGTGGGAGGGCCCCACTCATTGTGGATAGGGTCACTGCTGGGCAGATAGTCCTGAGCTCTGTAAGAAAGCAGGCTGAGCAAGCCATGAGGAGCAGGCCAGTAAGCAGCATCTCTCCATGGCCTCTGCATCAGTTCCTGATTCCAAGTTCCTAATTTCAGTTCCTACCTTGATTTCCGTAGATTATAAACTACAAACTGTAAGACAAAATAAACCCTTTTCTCCCCCACGTTGACTTTGGGCATGTTGTTTATCATAGCAACGAAAAATACGCTAGAAGAGTAGCAAAGATAACAATTTTCATAAGACAAAAGAACAGCAGATAACATCTGATCCTTTATAAAGGTCAAGCAAGGTCAAGCAGTATTGCCGAGTATGGTCAGCACATTCTGTGGTAAATCAATCCTCTCACTAAACATACAATGTAGGCTTTACTTATCATCATCATCATCATCATCATCATCATCATTTAGGGGGCACTGGGTATTGAACCTTGGGCAGTGGTTCTCAACCTGGGGTCACAACCCCTTTGTGGGTCAATGAGGCCACATATCAGACACCCTGTATATTAAATGTTTACATTAGGATTCAAAACAGTGGCAAATTACAGTTATGAGGGAGTAACAAAATAACTGAATGGTTTGGGGTCACAACAGCATGAGGAACTGTATTAAATGGCCAGAGCATTGGGAAGGTTGAGAGCCACTGTGTGACACACAGTAGGCAGTACCTTCCCACTAAGCCTTCATCTCATCCCTCTTTTTCAATTTGATAAACAACACCTTCTGCAGTTGCCAGGCGGGCCTTGAACCTGCTGTACTCCTACACCTTCATCACGAGTGAGGATCTCAGGCTTGTTGACACGAGGCCTACCTCTACTACTGCTTTTCAGACAGGGTTTTACTGGGCATGGTGGCATACCGTTCATTCCAGCACCTGAAAGGCAAAAGCTGAAGGGCTGTCTGTCTTGCCATTGCTTATGCTGGCGGGACTTCACCTTGTGACAATCCTGCCTCAGCTTCCAGAGTAAGCATAGGTACCATTATGATGTCCACTGACAGATGAAGAGACTAAAGCCAGAAGAAATGAGGTGCCGCTCTTTTCTAGCTATAACCAGGGGAGCCCCAAAGAGAAGAGAAAGAGGAAAGAAGGTTGCTGCTGTGCCAGAAACCCTAGAAAAAGAAGAAATGTCAGAGTTGAAGGCAAAGCTCCTGAAAAGAGACGTTCCGAAAAGATGCATCAGAAGACAAAGAGGAAGCTTATTGTGAAAAAACATGCTCTACCACAAGGAACACACACAGATGCACAGAACTGAGACTCCAATGGCCAGATGGCAAGAAGAGCTGGTAAGATAATGCACTTCACAGAACCCAAGTTGGCACTTGTCATCAGAGTCAGAGGTTCAATGCTGTGGATGTGAGCTATCGCCTACACTCCATGTGTTGGACAATTGGTCCCCAGATGGTGGGGCCCCTTGAGAAGGTTGTGGAACCTTGAGAAGATAGAGCCCTGATGGAAAAAGTATGTCATGGGGGCCACACACTTCCTGCTTTCTTTCTGCTTCCTGTGGACCAACCAGCTACTTGGTCCTGCCATGCTTTCCCTACTTGTTACTGCACCCTTTCATGCCGTGATGAACTGTATCCCTCTGGAACTGAAACTAAAACAAGCCCTTTATCTCTTAGGTTGCTTTCTTCAGGGTATTTTATCACAGCAATTCAAAAGTAACTAAAAAGGCCAGAAGAAAAAAAAAATGGCTTAGTGGGGACTAGAGATATGGCTCAGAGGTTAAGAGCACTGGCTGCTCTTCCAAAGGTCCTGAGTTTAATTCCCAGCAACCACATGGTGACTCACAACCATCTATGATGAGATCTGGTGCCCTCTTCTGGTGTGCAGGTGTACATGCAGACAGAATACTGCATAAATAATAAACAAACCTTTCTGAAAAAATGGCTTGGTGTGAAGATTTGCCCGATAACCTATGTTCAATGGCCAGGATCTACATTACAGAAGGAGGGAACTAACTCCCAGAAGTTGTCCTCTGATGAAACACGCATGTCATGGAGTACACATATATGTACATGCATATTCACACAAAGACATCCAAATAAATAGATGTAACTATGACAAATGGCATAAACCCAATGATCCGTAAGATACTGCGGCCTCTTCACCATCACGAGACCCAGCTCTCCAGCATGCCTTCATCAGTCCTTGATGGCACCTCTGTTAAACTTCATCCACAGACTTAACATACTGAAGATTGTAGCCCTGAAGTCAATACCTGAATTAACCCACGAGCATCAGAATAACAAAATCAGTAACAAACTGCCTTCATAGATAAATGACTGTTCCCTCTATTGCTAAGCTTGGCATCATATGCTTGGATGATCTGATTCATAAAATACATCCTGTTTGAAAATGCTTCAAGGAAGCAAGTTTCTCTGGCCCTTCAAATGATCTTTTTCATGATATATAATGAAGGGAAAGACAAGATTGACAGTTATCTACAATAGTTTTTTATATATATATAATCGGTTAATTAATAAGTAACTGCTGACAAAAAAAGAAAGAGAAGGATTAAGTAACTGTTCAAAGTCATAGGGTCTGGGTTCCAATCCAGAGCAGCCTGTTCATTTATTCATATATTTATTGGTCAAAGTCATAGGGCCTGGGTTCCAATCCAGAGCAGTCTGTCCATCTACTCATACACTGTGTGCAAACAGGCATGTATGCTAGCGTGGAGGCCACAGTGAACTGTGGGCTTCAGAGGAACCTTGAGAGAGCCAGCCATTTCTTGTACTCAGTCACCAGGTTTGGCAGCCAGTGCCTTTACCCAGTGAGTTCTCTCGGTGGCCCTGTGGAGCCAAGGCTGGTCTTGGCTTCATGGAAGTAACCTTTTACCTTAAATACCACAGCCACTCTCAACCGTGTGTTCTCCATTTTCAGATGGAAGAATTAATCCCCCAAAGTTTGACAACAGCACGTCCCTGCTCACAGCTGCAGCCATACAGATTCATAACCTGCCTGTGTATCTGAGTCACTAAGAAAACCTAACTTTTACTACCTTATTTTTTTAGGATTTGAGCTTTAAATTATATGTACATGTGGGACGGCGGTTGGGGTTTGGGAACATGTGAGTGCAGATGCCCAGAGGCCAGACGTGGATCCTCTACAATGTCCGCACGCTCACCTGCTGAGTCACTTCTAGCCCCTGGTCTCTCGTGTAAGTATGCCTTCCTGAAGCTTTTGGGTCTCCTTCTTTCTCTATAGCTCTACTCTCCATCACAGACCTGCCATGGAGCTGACCTCCACACTGGCTTAACTCAAAAGACCTGGTTCTTTTCTCTGGGAAAATGCCACGATGTACTGCCTTAAGGATTTTTCTTTTAAATTCTAATAAAACTGTCCTCAAGCTTCTGTTTTAGTCCTTTCTTAAATCCCTTATTAAGGAGACTAAGAACCCCAAGGGGGGAATCCAATTTCACTGGTAACGTGACAACTCTGGCAGAACTCCCCAAATTCCCAGTGATATATAGTAACCATGAAGGGTTTTGGTAATAGTTTCTCTGAGGATAAAACATTTGATCATATTCCAAGACTTTAGAAGCCATCTAAAGTGATTCCAGTCACTTCAACAGCTACCCAAGTGTCTAAAAGGAGACCCTGGTTCATCAATTTCTAGTTAAGCCTTTAAGGCCAAAGGTAAAAATACCCAAGAAAGAGCTCAATGGATGGATGCTCCTCTGAGCCTTTCATGAGATTCTAATGGATGTGAACCTTTCAAAAAATCCTCAGTCCTGGCAATTAAAAATAATAAAACTCATGATGAAACTTAACCCCAGCAAAACAGTATTAAGAGGTGTGGCCTTAGCAGGCAGTAGTGGCCCACGCCTGCAATCCCAGCACTCGGGGCGGCAAAGGCAGGCGGATCTCTGTGAGTTTTACAAGGCCAGTCCAGCATAGCCAAGGCTACACAGAGAAACCCTGTCTCAAAAAAACAAAACAAAACAGAAAACAACAACAACAAATAGGTGTGGTGTGACCTTTAGGAGGTGGTTTTAGTAAAGGGCTCCTTCTTCAGGAATTGGCATTAGTGTACTTGAGTTTAAGATAGAAAATGTAACTAATGTTAAAAATAAATAAATAAATAAATAGATAGATAGATAGATAGATAAATAAATAAATAAATAAATAAGGAAAGATACTTCTTGTTTTCTCCCCATATAAGTTTTCACAAGTCTCCATTACTTTTTGAGGGGCACAGCAGTAAGGACCATCTCAGAAACAGAGACTGGGGCTGGCAGATGGTTCAGCAAGTAAAGACACCTGAGTGAAATCCCTGTGGACCAACTCTGGGACTGGGGAGTTAGCCCACCATGAAGAACACTGGCTGCTCTTCCAGAGAATCCAACACCCTCTTCTGGCCTCCTGCAGGCACCAGACACACATGCGGTGCACTTACACAAATACAGGTTAACACAACAACAACAGGAGTTTCCCTCCGACCTCCACACACACCATGACATGTATCTTCCTCTTTGACCAAATAAACGAAAATTTAAAATATACTATAAAAACAAGGAAGAGACCAGCCCTCCCAGACACCAAGTCTGTGGGCACTTTGATCTTGGACTTTCCAGGCTCCAAACCCATGGGAAATCTATTCCTGTTGTTCATAAATTATTCAGTTAGTGGTATTTTATTATAGCAGACAAATGTGTGTGTGTGTGTGTGTGGCTGCCCACGTGAAGACCACTGCCGCCGTGCCTCGCTCTTTACACGGGTGCTGGGGTCCACACTCAGGTTGTCACCCCCTAAGGTCAACACTTCCTGACCCAGCACCTCCACCAGGCGGCATTTTCCATGAGCCATGCCAACATTCAAAACACTCCACTGAGCCAATGTTTTTAATTTCTATTTAACATCTTTATCTTAGCATGTCTAAAACTATCTTCCTGAATGAGCACAGGGTCCCTCCTTAAATTTTCTTTCATAAAACCCAAACACTGTCATGCTGACGGTGGTGGCACACACCTTTAATCCCAGCACTCGGAAGGCAGAGGCCAGTCGGGAACACACAGAGAAAGCTTATCTCACAGAAACAAACACTGTCAAATGTGGAATGGCCAAGGATGCGTGGACACCATGTAACTGCAGCGCTGCGCAGCCTGAGGCAAAACACCTCCAGTTAGCAGCCAAACTGAGGTAAACGGCAAACAAATCTAACACAAAATGTTAATACCACCTGCAATTCCAGGACTCAGGAGGTTGAGGCAGAAGGTTCAGGAGTTCAAGAACATCTTCAGCCAAGTTTGAGGCCATCCTGAGGTGCAGGAGATTCTCTCAAAACCCTGTAATCTCAGTTAACAGAGAAGCAGAAATGGGAAGATCACCCGAACCCACAAGTTTACACCAATCTAGATACTGTTGGGATGGGGAGCAGAACGCATATTAAAAATAAATTTGAGGCCAAACTTTAATTGGCTTTAGATTATATCTTTGAGTTTGTGAGCACCGTAAATAAGATAAAATACCTGAAAAGCTGGGAAATAAAGAATGAGAAGACAGATATAACGGCAACCAAGGGTCTGGTGCAGTGGCTGAGGCCTGTAATCCCAGCACTTCAGAAGTACAAGCAGAAGGATTAGGAGTTCAAGGTCAGCTTCAACTATTTGAGACCAGCCTGGGCTACATGCATCCCACAAAACAAAGAGAAGAGCAACGAGGCAGGCTGGGGATGAAGCAGAGCAAGTAAGGTGCTTGCCTTGCATGCTCTAAGCTCTGCTTTAACCCTCAGTATCATAAAGAATAGGCATGGCAACACATACCTATAATCCCAGAACTCAGGTATCGGAGGCAGGAGGGTCAGAAGTTCAAGGTCATCCTCAGCTATCTAGCCAGTTTAAGTAGTTATCCTGGACTACTTGAAACACTGTCTCACAAAAAAAAAAAAAAAAAAAAAAGTAAAAAGGGAACCAACCACAACCACTCTTGGCCCCTTTCCTACTAACCTTTTCACCACATCTTTGTATCCTGGGGCCTGCTTTTCTGACACAGGCTTCAAAAACGGACTGCTGAACCTGTTAAAAAATAAACCCAAAGAGGATAAAGAAACTCTGTCGAGTCATTCTAAGGGAGAAGTTTACTCTGTAGTTTAAGAGTCACTTAAAGGAAGCTGCGACAGGAGAATCACCAAGCAGAGGCTGGCCTCGACAGCACACTGTGCTCTGGTTCTTGGCCAGCCAGGCTACAGGGCAAGGCAAATGAACAGAAACCTACAACACATGACTTCTTGTTCACTTCCCCAAACATCAAGAGTGTGAGAGCGGACACCCAACCTGTGAATAGTTTAACTATTATTATAATCTTTCTTTTTTTGTTTTGTTTTTGAGACAGGGTTTCTCTGTGTAACAGCCCTGGCTGGCCTAGAATGCACAGAGATCCACATGCCTCTCCCTCCCAAGTGCTGGCATTAAAGGTGTATACCACCATGCCTGGCAATTTGTGTTTTTTAATTAAGAGCTCACAAATTTGTTCAAGTTTTCCAGGACCCTGTCTTCTTCTTCACCTTTTAAAAATATCTATTTCATTTCATGTGTATGAATATTTTGCCTCCATGTATGTATGTGTTCATGTGTGTAGTGGCCCCAGAGGCCAGAGGAGGTCGCCTGATCCCCTGGATCTTACAGACTGAGACACCATGAGGAACTGAACCCATGTCCTCTGCAAGCCATCTCTCTAATCATTTGTTTGTTTTGAGGCAGGGTCTCATGTGGCTCAGAGTAGTCTTAAACTTACTGTATAGCTAAGGATGACCACGTATTTATGACTCTCCTGCCTTGACTCCTCCAGTGCTGGGACTACAGCTGTGTACTTGTATGCAGGTGTACGAAACACTGAGGATTATTAAATCTGGGGCTTCGTGACTGCTAGGCAACCATTTTACCAATTGAGCCATGTCCATAGCTCTGAAGACCTGTTACTGTGGAAAAAAAAAAAAAAAAAAAAAAAATCCACCCTATGGAAAGGAGGCATACATATTTTAAGACAAAATATCATATATTAGGACCAAAGCTCCAGAGACAATTTCAATAGCACAGCAATGACTTCTTATAGACTAATAAAACAGCTATCAGTCTCAGTCATGGCTTGGGTCTTAGTTTCTGGACTCTTCATGCTTTGTTTTGAGGAGTTTCCTGTAGCTCAGGCCTGTCTCAAACTAGGATGCCCTTCAACTTCTGATTGTCCTACTTCCATTTCCCTGAAGTTAGGATGACAGGCATGTGTGGCCTCAGCCAGTGTTTGCTATGTTCAGATTAAACACAGGACTTCATGCATGGTGGGCAGGCACCAGAGTAGCTGAGCTGCAACCCCACACCCCACTCCAACTATGGCTTGTATAAGGGGTGAACATACCCCTTCTGTGCTCATATCCAAGTATGTGTTTTGGTTCTGGAGAAAAATCTCACTTTGGAAACCTACCTGTGACTGGCAATCATCTTCCAGACTTGCAAAAGAGTCTTCTTAAATAGGAAATGATCCTGAATAGGATCACCTTGGCTTAGGTCATTCCTACAGGATACATGACAGAAAAGAGACAGTCGCTTCATAAGTGGTACTGTGTCTCACTAGGTGGGTAATGAGGCTTTCTCAAGGCATAGTTCTCCTAATTAAACATTTGAAGGAATATAATATCATAGGTATGAAAATGCACTTATGTTTTTATAAGGGATAGTAAACTATATATTTGTAACATTTTTTTTCCTTTTATGTGCCTCTGTGTGTACCTGTGAATTTATGTGCACCAAGAATGAACTGGGGCCTGAAGAGCACCATAGGGCGCCCTTGATACTGGAGTTACAGGTGGTTGTGAGCTCTCTTGTATGGATGCTGGGCACTGAACCCAGGTCCTCCACAAGAGCAGTAAAGGATCTTAACTGCCGAACCAGCTCTCTTCAGCCACAATAAACTATGTCACTCCTACTCAATAAAGTGGTTTCCTTTGTTTGTTTGTTTCCTATTTCTCTTTTTCCTTTTGAGGTAGGGTCTTGTGTAAACTAGCTGGCCTTGAACTAGCTATGTAACTAAAGATTAGGGTAACTAATTCTCCTTCCTCCATATTCTAGATTACTTGAATTATAGTCATATGCCACCATGCCAGGTTAAGTGGTCATCATCTTATAAAACACACTGCAAATGTGAAGTTGCTTATGCCCTTTCTTTTCCTCTTTTTCCTTTTCCCCTACCCTGGCATTTCTAGGGTCAGTTATGTTCTCAGGACTATTCTGAAAATCTGTTTAGACCAGGATGGCTTGAAACTATTCAGCCTCCAGCTTGAGCCTCCAGCTTCCCAAATACTGGAATTGCAGATGTCTGCCTGACTCACCTGCGCTTCGTCCGCTCCTACTCATGTGCACCTGTGATTCTAGAGAACTCATCTATGAAAGTAGTTTTTCAAGTGAGCATGGTGGTAACACACCTATAACCCAGCACTTCGGAAGTAGAAGCAGGAAGATCAGAGGGTCAAAGAAATATAAAAAGTTAGAGGCCAATCTGGGCTACATGAGATGCTTGCCTCAAAAAAAAAAAAAAAAGTTTTTGTTCAGTGTTCTTTCCTAAGTACAAATACAGTTGATAATATTAACTTATTCCTTATATATCAAATAATTCTCTTATGTTTTATTTTAATTCTAGAAATGAAATTTTTTTTTTTTTTTTTTTTTTTTTTTTTTGACAGTGTTTCTCTATGTAGCCTCAACTACCTGAACTTGATCTGATGACCAGACTGGTCTCAAATGCCTCTGACTCCTGAGTGTTGGGATTAAAGGTATGTGCCACTACCACCCAGCTAAATTTTTTTTCACTCTCCTTGTATGCCTCATTAGAGGCAGGCAAGCCTAGCAATCTGGAACTCCCATTTCTTTGGGATGTACACCTAACAACCTCTTTTCTAGGAATGCACTTGGCAGTCTAAGAGCCTTCCCAAGATGCACTATGCATATACAACCCTTTGTAAACAATGTAGCTAGGAACCTGCCAGCAGCTGGGACCCTACTCTATCAGGCTGCATGTACCTGCTTTACACAACAGAAATAAGCTACTCCCCTTATCAGCCTCTTAATAATGGCTACCCTCTGCTTTCCATTCTGACACATTTTGAAGTGGGCCCATCTGCCCTAGACTGGTTCTAGGTGCAAAGTGCGTCTCCTAACTTTTTCTCTTTTGCTTCCTGTTCTGGAGAGTAAAGCTTAGCCCTCATGCATGCTAGTCAATATCCCTCAGGCCTCCTCTGTATAGTAATGTTAACTGTCCTGAGTTTCCCCTAATTTCTTTTATACTGTGTGTGTGCACCATGGAGGGCAGAGGACAACTTGAGGAACTGGTTCTCTTCTTCCACCAGGTGGACCCTGAGGGCTGGACTCAGCCTGACAGGTTGGCAGCAAGTTACTTTACACACTGAACCCTTTCTCTGCCCCTTGTTTTCATGTTTTTGTTTTTTGGTACTAGCACTTCTTGTTTTCTGGGCAAGCACTCCATCCCTAAACTATATCCTTAGTTATCATAATCTTAAAGAATAAATACTTAGTATAGATCAATGTTTCCTCATGATACTTCCTTTCCTGGGCTTAATTCTCTTATTCTGCTTTTCTTCTGAGATACAACAGTTCAAATTTTATCTCACCTTATAATTTAAAAAGTTGAAAAGTTTTCTTCTGAGCCACGTGGTGGTGGTGCACACCTTTAATCCCAGCACTCAGGAGGCACAGGCAGGCAGATCTCTGAGTTTGAGGCCAGCCTGGTCTACAGAGTGAGTTCTAGGACAGCCAGGGCTACAGAGAAACCCTGCCTCAAGAGGGGAGGGGGGAGTTTTTTGTTTATTCCAAAGTTAAATTTTATGATGTTTCCAGTTTCACATTATATTCTGTTATTCCCTTGAAAAAGGTTCTCTTAACACTCTAAATTTTTACATTCTCTAAATCAAGCATGGTGGCACATCTGTAATTCCAGGAGACAGAAAGGCAGATCAGAATTCCATCATCTTTGACTACATAGGCCAGCCTGGGCTACATGAGACCCCATCTCAGGGAAAAAAAAAAAAAAAAAAAGAATTTCAAATTTTACATTGTATACCACACGGTATAAGTGCATGCGACACTACACTCCTATTACTTGTTCAATTTTAATATCTCTTTATAACTATTCTCATTATGTAATACGTCAACTGTGTCTGGATTCAGTGTCTGAATGTTTGATTGCATGTATGTATATGTACATGTGTACTGGACCCCCTGTGACTGGAGTTACAGATGTTTATGAGCCACCATGTGGGTGCTGAGAAGTGAACCCTGGTCCTCTCCAGAGCAGCCAGTAGTTATAACTGCTGACCCAACTCTCTCACCCCACTTACATCATTTAAAATTCACTTCCTTATTTTGACATATGGTCTCACTCTATCTCTGACTGGCCCAGAACTTGCTAGGTAGACCAAGATGGCCTTGAACTCACTTGCCTCTGTATCCTGACAGCTCAGATTAGAGGCGTGCACTACCACAACTGGCCTCACCTGGATATAACTGCATACCATCAAATCATATAATTAAGATCTTTACTCAATTTATTCCTAAATGCTATTACAAACCCTATCCAAATAAGACATTTAAAGCACAAAACAAATTTCTTTTCTTTTTTTCCTATTTTATTTATATTTTTAAGATTTTATTTTTGTTTTGTAAGTCTGTGTGTTTCTGTGTACAAGAGTGCAGTGCCAGAGGAGGCCAGAAGAGGGCATCAGATTCCCTGGAGCTGAGTTACAGATGGTTGTGAACCTCCGGATATGGGTGCTGGGAAACGAACTTGGGTCTTCTGCAAGAGTAGCAAGTGTTCTTAACTGCTGAGCCATCTCTCCAGCCATTCCTATTTTATTTAATGTTTTTATCAGCATATATTCATTACATTTTCATACATGCACGTTAATATGTATCAACCACATCCAGCACTCGTTTACTACCTCTTGTCCCCCTCTAACTCCCATTACTCTCCTTCCTTCTTCTAGCTAGGCTCACTTCTACTTCCATGTCTTTGTGTGTGTGTGTCTATGTCCCAGTGAGTGTCATTAGGCTTATTTACAGGAGCGTGGAAGGGAGGCTTGTTTACTGTAGCACGTGTGCCTTCAGTCTCCGATCACTCAGGCTAAATTAACACTCCCTCCTTTGTGTTAGGTTGTAGAACTTCATTCACATATTCACGTAGTATTTACTGTCTCCACTATATATACTATGGTATGCTAGATTTTGTAAACTCATCATTAACCAACTATGCATATTTTAAGAATCTCTATCTTACCTTTATTTCACCCAGGTGGAGAACAATACCAAGCAACATAAATGAAAGTAAGAAGCAAGGGAAAACACAGCACAAGTGGAACCCAGAAGGCTCTATTTCTCTTGACCCTATCAGTAGGGACTAAGGAATGGGTAAGAAAAGAGTGTGGAGAATGTCTGTTTTGTTCATTTGTATTTTCCAATGCTACAATATAAGGTCTCGAGTATGCGAGCCAAGAGATCTACCATTGGGGTCTACCTCCACCTTCCCACCCCAGGGACTGCTGCTGTTGCTGTTGTTGGACAGTGTTTCACTTTGGAGCCCAGGCTGGTCAAACAGGGAACTAGTGAGTTCTGGGATTATATGGCACCAGCTCAGCTATGGGGTTGTTTTTTAAAGGAGTTTTAAACTTCTACTTTAACATAAGAATTCATGTAAGAATTTCTATCTCCCCTTAAGATAACTGGCCAAGCCTATAACCTCACTTAGAGGTAGAGAGAGAAGAATCAGGAGTTTAAGGCCATTCTCATCCACATACAGAGTCCCAGGCCAGCCTGGGTTACAGGAGGCCCTGTTCAAAAACCAAGGAAACAAAAAAGGCCTTTAGTCAGCGACATCATTACTACTATTCTATTGCTTTCTTTTTCTTTCCTGCCTCCTCCCTCCCTTTCTCTTCTCTTTTCTTTTCAGATACAGAAGAAGATAACATGCTCTGAATTGAAACATTCCATTTTGAAATGATGTTCCCTAAAGACTCAGGAAGTTACTGGGCACATGCCTTTAATCCCAGCACTTGAGAGACAGAGAAAGGTGGATCTCTCTCTGAGTTTCAAACCAGCCTGGTCTACAAAGCATATTCCAGGACAGCCAGAGCTATGTATGCTTAGAAACTTGTCTCAAAAGAAAACAAACAAATAAGACTCAACAAGGAGGCTCGTTATAGTTATTTTTATAAAACTGTGTTTTTTTTTCCAAAGATTTATTTACTTATTATTACTGTATTCTGCCTGCATGTATGCCTAAAGTCCAGAAAAGGGCACCAGATCTCGTTATAGATGGTTGTGAACCACCATGTGGTTGCTGGGAATTGAACTCAGGACCTCTGCAAGAGCAGCCAGTGCTCCTAACCTCTGAGCCATCTCTCTAGCCCCTGTGTTTATTTCTTAGTTTCTCTCTCTTTCTCTTTTTTTTTTTTTTTAAGACAAGTGTTTCTCTGTGTGGCCTTAGCTGTACTGAACTCACTTTGCAGACCAGGCTGGCTTCAAATTTAGAGATCCGCCCGCCTCTGCCTTCCCGAGTGCTGGGATTATAGGTGTGCACAATGCACCTGGCTTTATTTTCTCTCTTAACCGGCTATCATACAATAATTGAGACTATTATTTATTTTAACAAGCTTCACAGCACAATTCTGAGCAATATTAACTCTATTCTAATTCTACTCTAAGCTAATTTGGCTTCCTTCAAATATGCATTCCAATGATACTTGCATTTTGTAGCTTTTCTTGCTGAGTTCTCTCTCCTGGTCCCTCCTGGACATCTGCCCAGGGCTGAATTCCCCACTTCCTCTTCTAATTCCTCCTCCCTCCCCTGGCTGGCAGGAAGTTCAGCCCTATTCTCTCTCCCACTCATCCATTGGCTGTAAGGTGCTTTATTGACATATCAGGAAACAATCGGGGAGCAGAGTTTACACAACTTTAAGACAGGAAATTCTCTCCCTTTGGGAGGGTAGTAGGGGAGTTTCCAGACAGGGTTTCTCTGTGTAGCCTTGGCTGTCCTGGACTTGCTTTGTAGACCAGACTGGGCACCAGATCACAGTGATCCGCCTGTCTGAGATTAAAGGCAGATGCCACCATGATTGGCTGGGATAGTAGATTCTCAGAACAAGGACAACCAGATAGAGAGGGTACGGAAATTAGCATTTGAATTACACAATAACCCTATACCTACATCACAACTGTGGCCTATAGCCGAATCCTTTCTAGCCAGCATTTCAGTGGGCTGCATGAAATTTCTTCAAGCCTTTGTGGATGTTCCTTTTTCCTCAAAAAAGGAACTACCTTTTTTGGTGTTATTGTAAATTCTAGATTGGATCTCTCTGAAGATTCCCTATTTTGATTCAAAGATTCCTCCAACCTCTGTTCCATGGCCTCTAATATAGCATCTAACTTCTCAGTCTCTTTTTTTCTCCAAGTCTATCTTACTCTGACCTCTCTCAAAGAAAATATACAAAACTGAAATCGTCACTGAAAAAATTATTTGTATGCTAAGATAAACAAACTCAAATAGTATCCAGAAGCACTGTGACATTGTGTCTTCCTCCATTTTCAACACAGAAAGTAATCTTCTTTAATCTCAAAACCTCTTGCTAAGGACTTTCTTAGGCCCAGCTTACCTTTCAGACCTTACCAGCTCAGATGTTTGAGGCTTCTCAGTCTGTCTTTGGCTCCTGCTTCCAGGGAGAGGCTATTTGTTTTTCTGCCTCCTTCACTGGAGCCTGACCCCCTCCCCTCACTCTGGGAAGTTATCGGGTCCACAAGTGTTTGCTCCTCTGGCCAGCATAAGTCAGGACAGCAAGGGCCCCTTCTCAAAGGAATTTAGCTTCCTGCCTTGGCTAGAAGAGTCTGGCTTTGAGAAGCTTGCTTGTGTTAAAGAGCTACTTTTTTTGTTTGTTTGTTTTTCTTAGCAAGGTCTCCTAAAAGAACTCCTTGGAGAACTTAGCAGGTCTCCTAAAAGAACTGCTTCTGCTCTGTCTCTCTGGCGTTTGTATCCGTTTCGGTTTTTCTGAAGCCTGTTTGTGGCTGGGGTGGGAGGAGCACTGCTTATTCAGGAAACTGTGAGATCCTGCCTTAGAATCTGCAGTTGCTCTCTTTATGAAGAGACTAAGAAATTGCTCTGTAGTTTTACTTTCTACATAAGTCTGGCCCCACCTTGGGCGCCAAAATGTTAAAGTTATTTTTTTTTAACTGTTTTTGTTTCTCTTGGTTTCTCTCTTAACCCGGCTATCATACAAATAATCGAGACTCTATTGTTTATTTTAACAAGCTTCACAGCACAAACCTGAGCAGAATTAACTCAATTCTTATCCCTCTAAGCTAATTTGGCTTCCTCGCAGCAGCGTGAATGCCATCAATACTTGCATTTTGTAGCTTTCCTTGCCGAGGTCTCTCTCTCCTGGTCCCCCCTAGACTTCTGCCGGTGACTGAATCCCCTAATTCCTCTTTTAGCTCCTCCTCCCCTGGCGGGCAGGAAGTTCAGTCCTATTCTCTCCCCTGCTTAGCGATTGGCTGTAAGCGACTTTATTGACATATAAGGAGGCAATTGGGGAGCAGAGTTTACATAACACTGAGACAGGAGAGTCTCAGAAAAAGCAGTGCAACCAGATAATGGGGGTTAGAGATCAGCATTTGAATTACACAGTAACCTTATGCCTACAAAGGTCATTAAGTTCAGGAAGTAAACTACTTGGCAAGTCTCAGGATCCCTGAAACTGAGAAGATTCAAAGCACCCCTCTTCCCCAGTTATAAAAATAGCAAGGACTTCTGATGAGACTCTCCAATCTATTGAGCCGCCTGCAAGTTGAACAGAGAAATCCAAGGTTTCAGCTTTCATGAGATGTTATCCATGATGGGGAGCCTTTGTGATATCCACTCTCTTGTAAGTAATCCCTTACCTATATTTCTTTAAATGAATGACCCCAATAAACTCATTACATGCATACATTCTGGCCCAGTTCAATAGTTCACCAAGTTTCACTTTGGTGGTATCATTATTTGGTTTGTCATCAGTTTTCTATTGAAGTACATAGATGTTCATAGATGTTTGTTTCACATTTCTCCAGAAATAATGTTATACCAAAACAGGCTCATTATGTAGTTCAGAACATCAGCCTCCAAGAGTGCTGAGATTATAGCCTTCCTGACTATCCCAACATATCTGGCTTTTTTTTTTTTTTTTTTTTTTTTTTGCTTTCTAATAAACAGTCTGAAGAGGACATGGTGGAGCATACCTGTAATCCCAGCCCTCAGGATTCAGAGGCAGGAGGAGCATTACAAGGCACAGGCCAGCAAGAGCTGCCTAGGAAGACCAGTTTTCCTCTGGACAGTGGTGGCAGACACCTTTAATTCCAGCACTTGGGAGGCAGAGGCAAGCAGATCTCTGTGAGCTCAAGGCCAGCCTGGCCTATAAAGTGAGTTCCAGGACAGCCAAGGCTGTTACACAGAGAAACCCTGTCTTGAAAAACAAAACAAAAAGACCATTTTTCAAAATAAATAGATAACTATGGTCTTCAGTGACTCAATTACCTATAAAAATAAGACAATTATATTATAATTTTCCCAAGATACAAACAAGAAAAATGGAAAGCATAAATTTTAATCTTAAAGAATTAGGCACGATGGCTTGGGTTTATAATCCCAACACTTGGGAGACAGAAATAAGAGGATCAATAGTTCAAAGTCACCCTCCACTGTATACTTAATCTGAAATTAACCTGGGTTACATGAGATCCTGTCTCAGGGGGAAAATGTCTATCTATAAAATTAACTACTTCAGACAGGGTTTTAATATGCAGCTCTGGAATTCTGAAACTCACTAAATAGACCATGTTGGTCTTGGACTGTTAGCTATCTATCTTCCTACCCCTGCCTCCTAAATGCTGAGACTACACGAATGCACTTCTGGCCCAGTTTCAATAGTTTTTTAAAAGGTATATTTTGTATAATAGTAGATCACTTAGCACCATTCCTAAGTAAATGAAACTAGTAATTATTGAGAAGATTTATGAAAGAGATTCTGTTTTTTCCTTTTTTCAGAATGCTGGAGAGTAAACCTAGAGCTTTGCAAGTGTTCTACCACTGAGCTACCTCCTCAGCCCTGAGACTCTCTAAATATCAACAAAACAGCTTTTAAAAAAATACAAAGATTTATTTAATTTTACATGCATGAGTGTTTTGCTTACATGTATATATTTGTATTGTGTACATGTCTGGTACGGAAGGATAGAAATAGGTATCAGTTCCCCCGGAACTGGAGTTACAGGCACTTGTTAGCTACCAGGTAGGTACCAGGAATTGAACCTGGGTTCTCCGCGAGGCAGCAAGTACTCTTTAACCACTGAGCCATCTCTCCAATCTCTCCAGTACAAAACTATGCTTATTTTATAATAGAATAGCATATAAGCTTCTATTTATAGTACGTTAAAAATTTAACCTGAGCTCAAGAGGTCAGACTAGCCTCGGTAATAAAATGAACACCTTGTTCAAAAAAATTCTTAGTGTTTTCCACCCATAACTTCCTTTTTTGTTTGTTTTGGTGTTTTGTTCTGTTTTTCGAGACAGGATTTCTCTGTGTAGCCTTGGCTGTCCTGGACTTGCTTTGTAGACCAGGCTGCTTCAACTCACAGTGATCCACCTGTCTCTGCCTCTCAGAGTGCTGGGATGGCAGGCATGTACCAACACACCTGGCATAACTTCCTTCTTAAAATATTTATAAAAACAATTTAATTCATAGTAACAAATCCAAGTACTTATAAACAGGAACAAATGAAAGGATGAATCCTAACAACCTTGGATGGAGATCTGTGCTTAGAGGTCCTCGCGGAGCACATCGAGGACCTCCAGGGTACCACACAGCACTCAGCCATCCAGCTGCACCCCCAGCCCTATACTTACAGTTGTGAGGAGTTGTACAGGATGTCCACCAGGGGAGCTTCCTTAATGCCGACGCCATCACCTAAAGGGGGCTGCTCTTCTATTTCTGAAGCATCCCCTTCACCCTGATCCTCCTCTTTTGTGTCTTGCTGAGCCTCCCCCTGGGAATCCAAGAAGCACCGGAAACTTTAGAAAGTCACCATCCACATCCTAATTTTTCTTATACAGGGGAAAGGGTAAGAAGACCTAAGGGTAAAAAGAAGCCAACTCTATAGAGCTACCAGAAAATTAGGAAAAGGTGACTACATTAGAAGAATCAATAAAGGTTTCAGTGATAATCCAAACAATTTAAAAAATTCTCCAAAGTGAAAAAGTATATTTACTCAATTCTAAGTTTGATGTTGACCCCTGTAGGGGAGGAAAAAAACAAAACAACAACAATCAAAAACAAAACAAAACAAAAAACCCAAATCAAAGCAAATAAAACCCTTCACTATCCCCTGGGGTCTTAAAGTTAGCTCTTATAGCCACCCAGATAATATTAACAATGAGATTCTAAATTTACTGATTATGTTCAGGCTAAAACAAATGTTAGAGTGAAAATGGCAAAACCAGAAACACCTGGAAAGCTAGAGAACACACAGCCATCTGTGGAGATCAGAGGACAGCTCTCAGCAGGCAGATCTTTCCTTCCAGCATGTGGGTTCTGGGGTTGAAACTGGGTCTTCAGGCTTGGCAGCAAACACCGTTAGCTGCTGAACCATCCCACAGACCCTTATTTTCCTAGTTAACTATTTACCTATTTGTCGGCTTTAGGTCTTGCCTTGCCCAGGCAGATTCAATCACAAGTTCAAATGATTCTTGTCCCTCAGTCTCCTGAGTAGCTGGGACTACAGGTGTGCCTCACTACAACCCACTGAATTGTTTCATTTGCCTGTTTGCAACTCAGCCTTCTTTACCTCCTGCTGGGTCTGAGTGTGGCTGAGGATAATCGCGATATCTGATCTTTCTGCTGGACCCTCTTGACTGCTGGGATTACAACCATGCAACACCACACCCTGCTTATTCAGTAATGGGGATCACCCCAGGGCTTTACGTGTGCTAAGCAGGCAATCCACCAGTTGCGCTCACCCCCAGCTCTGTTTGTGTTTTAAGACAGGGTGTCATGTTGCCCAGCTAGTCTGAAATTCATTGTGTAGCCAAGGATGGCCTTGAACTTCTGATCCTCCTGCCTTTGCCTTCCAAGTGCTAGGATTACAGATGTGTGCCACAACCTCTGGCTGAATTCTTACATTTAAATCTTACCCCCCAAAATCTTCCAAGTAGAAACGTATTTAATCTGTTTGGAGCAGAGAAAACAGAGGTTTTAAATATCCAGTAACATACTGCCTAAAGCTGGTGCTGAAGCTGGACTTTGGAAGCAAGAAGTTTAACTCTTTGGGTTATGTGTTCTAGCCACTCTGCTCCACCTGCCTGTGGGGATCAGGTGACCTAAGTAGTTTACCTCTTCACTCTCTTTTGGGTAGCCCCTTTAAGCCATAATATCTGTGGGGGCTGCAGCTGCCTCTGGCTTTCCATTCTCTCAGCAGCTTCTTTTCAGCCAGAGTTTAAGTCTAGTTTAGGCCTCCTGAGGGTCTTCACTCTCCACATCTTCCACAAGAAGCCCACTAGAGTCTCTCCCTGGGCTGCTTTCCTCTAGTTCCTCAGCCTCTGCATCCTCAGTTTCCCTCCAACTGCCTGCAACAAGATCCAGACTGGAGTCCCAAGAGCTGAAGAGAGACGTGCAGCCATTGCTCAACTCTGAGTCATCAGGGGAGTCTCGTCCAGAATCCAACCAAACCCACTCACAACACCCCGTCTTCAGTCTGTCTTCAGGGCTCCTCTTTCACTTTGGTAGTTTCCATTCCCCTTCCCTCCTGTTGCCTGGTACCAGATGAAGGGCAACAGTTTTGACTTGATTCGTTGCTGCTAGTGCACAGTGGCCCAATTAAACAAGCTCCCTGCAATCAGTGTACTCGTAGCTGCACAGGACCAGCTGAGCATGGTAGTGAACTCCTTTACTCCCAGCACTCAGGAGGCAGAGGCAGGCAGGTCTGTTTGAAGCCAGCCTGGTTTACACAGTGAGTTCTAGGACAGCCAAAGCTGCATAGTGAGACCCTGTTTCAAACAAACAAACAAATAAACATACATACAAAAAATTTTTTCATTTTTATTTAGTGTGTGTGTTTTTGAGTCATAACACATGTATGTGGGTGTCCTCAGAAGCCAGAAAAGGCTATTGGATTGCCTGAAACTGGAGTTACAGATGTTTATGAGCTGCCTGATGTAGGTAGCTGCTGGGAAACAAACTCCGGTCCTCTGCAAAAGCATTAGTGCTCTTAAGCATTGAGTCATTTCTTTAGTCCCTAAGCTTTTGTTCCAGTCAACAATAGTAAGAGTGGTAGGGACATTCGAGGGTAAGCATTCTGGTGAAAACTTGGGTGGGACATCATGGTGCACATGAAAATGCCCCCAGGAAAGCTGAAGCTGAAAAGGATCTCAAGAGTTCCCATATCTGATCTCAAAATGAAGAGAGAGAGAGAGATGGGAAGGGGAACAGGGAGGGATAGGAGGGGAGGAGAGGAGAGAGGAAGGAAAGGAAAGGAAAAAGAGAACGAAAAGTTTACAAAAAAAAGTGGTCTTTCCAGCTATGGAAATAATAACTTCACCATTACCTCAGAGAGGATTTGGAGGAGGTTCTGGTGTGTGTCTTGTTCTGCCTCCTCCTGAGGGTCTTCGCTCTCCACATCTTCCACAAGAAGCCCACTAGAGTCTCTCCCTGGGCTGCTTTCCTCTAGTCCTTCAGCCTCAGCATCCTCAGTTTCCCTCCAACTGCCCGCGTCAAGATCCAGACTGGAGTCCCAAGAGCTGAAGAGAGACGTGCAGCCATTGCTCAACTCTGAGTCATCAGGGGAGTCTCGTCCAGAATCCAACCAAAACCACTCACACCCCGTCTGTAAACACACAGAAAAAAACAAAACAAAACAAACAAACAAAACACATACACACACACACAAATTAGTTCAAATAAAAGCAAAATAAATTCATTGAAATCAATATTCCCAACACACCTCTATTGTCCAAGTTCATAAAAGGGTCCCGAAATGTCTTTCTATTCATTAGGAGGCATAAAAGCTAGCTAAAGGGAGACATTAGATAAAATTTTAATCTTTTAGATAAACTATAGCTTCATATTACCCCATTTTAAAATTTTGATTTCTTCATACTCCAAAAGAGAATTAGAACATAGTTGCCTTAATAGACTTGCTCTATCACAAATCACTCATGAACTCAATCACAAAGCAATATACTTGAGGATAAAACGATTTTCTTCAGTGTATATCAATCTTAACCTATTATTAACTTATTAATCATTAGTTCAAAATACTCATGATTACCTTTGGCATCTTTCTGGTCATATCTGACTGTACAATAAAAACAAACACTTGAGTTTTATTAATTTATTTGGAAATTTCATTTTAAAGATTTACTATTTTTACGTGGTTTGTGTAAGTGTGAATGAATGCAATTTGTGTGCAGGTGTCCATGGCGGGGGGCTGGGAGGAGGAGAGATTGAATCCCTTGGGTTACAAGTGGTGGTTAAGCCACCTGATGTTGGTGCTGAGAACAAAACTCAGGTCCTCTGGAAAAACAGCAAGCACTCTTTCATTGATCCATCTCTTCAGCCCAAAACATTTTTAACTGCCTTCTCTTGCTCATTACACTTTTTTTTTTTTTTTTGCAATTTTCTTTTTTCATTCTTTTAAAGACAGTCTCCTGTAGACTGGCCTCATGTTCTGTAGGTAGCTGCGAATGACTTGGTTTTCTTTGGTGCTAACCCTGAAATCCAGAGTTTTATGCATGCTAGGTGATCTAGCTACATCTCCAGCATCCTGCTACAGCTTTCAACAAAGATTCTTCTTCAGTTCTTGCTTGGTCTTCTGCTTTGTCATTAACTCCTTTAAAGTTTCATCTTTTTTCTCTGTGCAAGTTGCTCTCTTGATTTGTTCGAAAAGATTTAAAATTACTGTTTATGCATAGATGCCTGTGTGAAGTGTTGGATCCTCAGTTGCTGGAGTTACAGGCAGTTGCCAGCTGCTTGGTGTATGAGTGCTAGGATCTGAACTCAAGTTCTCTGAGAGAGCAGCACATGCTCTCCATCTCACCATTCCACCCTCCCCACTTTTTTGAGTCTTACTGTGTCCGAAAACTCAAAAATTCTACTTAAGCTTCACAAGTGCTGGCTGAAATTGCAAAGCTGTGCCACAATGCCTAGCTTTCTAGTCTCCACCACTAGGGGTGGGGGGAGTGTCTTTTGTCTCATCTGTACTTTACCCCTAATTACGTCTCCTTATTTTTGTCCAACATCTCTTAATATACTTTAAGAGATATGTTGGCAGAAAAGCCAACTTAATTTTCCAACTTAAAATATTTTTTCAAAGATTTACTATTATGTATACAGACTTCTGCCTGCATGTGCACCTGCACTCCAGAAGAGGGCACCAGATTTCACTACAGATGGCTGTCAGTCACTGTGTTGTTGGGAGTTGAACTCAGGACCTTTGGAAGAGCAACCAGCACTCTTAACCTCTGAGCCAGATCTCCAGCTCCTCCCACCCCACAACTTAAATTTATTTCTGAGACAGGTCTCAGCATGCAGCCATGGCTGGTCTGGGACAATGTGGAGAGAGCAGGATAACTTGCCTCTGAATCTTGAGTGCTGGGTTTTCCAACCTCTAGTGCTTTGATGTTTGTAACACGACTGCTTTAAGACTTATTTCCTATTCTGATTACTGGACTAAGTGAATTCTCTTATCATCTCAAGGACTAACTTCTCCCTTAGTTTAACAAAGTTTTTATTTTTGAACAGGGTCTTGTGTATCTTGGAGTGGCCTAAACGTTGCCAATTATTACTTTGAACAGATTCTTCTTCATCTACTGCTAAGTGTCAGGATTACAGGCTTGTGTTGCAATGGTATATGAAAGCTAGTGATAATCTCTAAACTACATCACAAACCCTCAAATTTCATAAACAGTTCCACTTTAGACAGTTGAGATCTTTGACTTTTAGGCATAGCCTATTGTTTGGGTTTTTTTTTTTTTTTTTTTTTTTTAAATGACAGGGTCTCACTAGGTATCCCTGGCTAGCCTTGAACTCATTATGAGATCACCTGCTTTTGCCTCTGAAATGCTGGGATTAAAGGTGTGCATTACCACACCTAACTGTAAGCATATTCTTCTTAAACCTTTTTTCCTCAAGATAGTATTAAAGAATGCCCTACCAGTCATGTTTTAAAGACTCATACTACTAGTTCATTTACTGCTGAATATTTTTATTTAGTAACGGAAGTTAGAACTGAGGTCTTACGGTCCTAAGACATTTTAAAATTACATTTGTGTGCACCCACACGTGTTATGAGGATGTGCATGCCCCTGTGCACGTGGGTCAGAGTACAACTTGCAGGAGTCCATTCTCTCCTCCCACAATGTGGGTTTCGGAGATTAAACTCAGGTGGTAAAGCGTGGTAGCAGGTGTTTGAGGCCACTGAACTATCACATAGGCCCCACTTCTCTAGTCCTGGCTGGCCTCAAACTGTCAGCTGTCCTCTTGCCCCAGCTTGTCTGGTCCTGGAATTACTGGTATGAGCCAACATGTTGTTTTCAAGTGATTTCTTTCTTCCAGCACTGGGGATTGCCAAGGCAAATGCTGTATAATCAGCCTTCACAAACATAGTCCCAGCCCTAAACCTTCAGACTCCCAGAGAGTAACCTTTACAAGTTTCTGCTGTTGTTTTAAGCACACAGTACACACACCTGTAATCCAAACCACTGGGGGAGCTGAAATGGAAAAATTCTGAACTCTAGGGTAGCCTTGTCAAATAAAAGGAAGACTCCACTTCAAATAACAAGACAATATTTTAAAAGAGTTTTTTTTGTTGTTGTTGCTGCTTTGTTTTTCGAGACAGGGTTTCTCTGTGTATAGCTTTGGCTGTCCTGGAACTCACTCTGTAGACCAGGCTGGCCTCAAACTCAGAGATCTGCCTGCCTCTGTCTCCTGAGTGCTAGAACTACAGGTATGTGCCACCATGCCCAGCTTGTGCAAGAGTTTTACCTATAGGAATACGGACAGCATAGACAAAGATAGTACTGACACAAAACATTACTGACATTTTGTTACCTTTGTCCATGCTCTAATCCTTAAGGAATTATATGAACCAGAAAAGACTAGTAAAACAGTCCTTATTATACAATTAACTCTTTGAAAACACTAAATATTTGGTCTTGGTTACTCACCTCTTCTCAGTTGCAGCAGTTTGTAAGACCACTTCTCAGCTCTAACACTCTAACCCCACATATGATCAGTCACGGTAAAGAAAACACATCTCAAACACAAAGGACACATGAAAGGCCAGTTTTCCTTATGTCTGTTATATACACACACTTCACAGGTTTATTTTTTTTAAAAAATCTGTACATTTCACAAGACAGTACAAATTAGCTACAATCTGCTCGCTACACATTAGGCATTGACACAGCCCATGATCTCTGCCCTACAACGGGCTTCTGTGCTACTCCAACTCTCTGAAAAGAAATTTTCTTTTCTCAAGTTATGCCATTTGGCCTGGGGACTTCCTCTTCTGTACTCTCACTTCTGGACTCATATTGCTTCTCAGCCTTTTGACTAAGATCAAGTGTGGAACTGAGCCCACAAGCCCAAGCTATAACATCTTGTTTATTTCTATTTCAGGTCCAGCTCAAAGAAGGTATTCACTTCTTCATCTTCATATCTGCTTCAATTGCACAGCGGCGTCCCCTGGTTCCCCCATCCTAGACATCAAAGAAAGGAAGTTGAGTTGGTTACATACTAAGAGACAAAGTACAATAGGAATTCTGGGAATTTGCTTTCTTGGGGGAAAACAATCTGCAGAGAATACTAAAGGGAAGAGGTGGAAGGAATTTTCTGTTTCCCCACAGAGTAGCTAAAGAACACCGCGTTTTGTTTTGGTTTTGGTGAGGGAACTGTAAGATGTATTTTCTTCATGGCCCTTAAACTTCACCTGGGGTCCTACAGAGTGACTACCAGTCACCACCCCCCCCAGGCTCAAATTATATGTAAAGAAACAGGTAGGGAAAATGAAAGGTGGGAGAGGCAGAAAGGGCAGTAGATAATGAGGTTCTTGGCTAACATACCTGTCCAGTTGTTGGTCCCTATAAGAAAGGCCTTTCCTGCAGACTGACCCTGGCACTAGTTCCCTAGCACCTCCTGACAGTTGTTTTCCATGAGATCAGGACAATCAGGCTTCTTTCCATCTGCTGCTCTCTCCCTGCAGCCCAGCTCCTTCCTCTTGTGCAAAACTTTGCTGTCTTCAATAGATAAAAGATCTTATTAACCAGCCTTGCAACAGCCAGCCACTCGAATGAGGGTCCAGGGTCACTGTTGCAGGCCAATAGAAAAGAATAGCGGTCACAGTGTTCTGTTTATGGCACAGGCCTACAGGAAACATGAACTAGTCAACACTTCTGCTGGGCTGGACCACTTTGCATTTCTAATATGCAAGGATTAAAAAATTTTTAGAACATAAGTTGCCAATAGTTAACAGTAAAAACAGAAATAACACCTTGCAATTGTGTAACATTTTAATAATTTTTTTCAAGTTAGTTTCATAATTTATTTTTATCCTCACAACATCCCTGTGAGGTAGGCTAGACAGTATCTCCATCTTTTTCTTTTCTTCTTTTTAATTTTGACTTCTTTATTTTCATTATATATTCATATATATGCTTTGCCTACATGTGTATACGTGCACAAGTGTGCAGAGCCTGCGAAGGCCAGAAAGGGCTTTGGATCCCTTGAAACTGGAATTACAGGCAATTGCGAGTGGTTGGTGGAAGTCCAACCCAGATGCTCCCAAGAGCAGCAAGTGTCCTTAACTCAGCAAGTCACCTCTCTAGCGCTCTC